CGATGTCTGCTTTTTTTATTATTTTGCTTGAGGCAGAAAGTAAACGTTGTTACATTGCTATTAGAATGAAAGTTATACAGAAAAGGAAGAATGTGAAACAGATTAGGTACTGATGTTTTTCCAGGTGTTGTTAATTCATCTGAAATTAACTCTGTTACTGCTTTTATATTTAATACAATATCTGAGGCAAAAAGGAGATGGCTGTGCTGTTGTGTGTGTAGTGTTGATTTTAGCGTTTTTTTCTTTTTCAACAACTCCTTTCACAGACTGTCCATAAAATCCATAAAAACAGTATGTTTTATGTTGATTCATATACAATTTGGACACTCAAAGTGGTAGGTGATCTACACTTTCCCAAGAATCTATCAAGATTGCTAACTTTTAAAGAGAATTAAAAGACACACAACATTACTGATTTATTAGGAGCCAGCTGAGAAGCAGTGTGTACAGAATTGTGGTGCTTCAGCATTTGGAAACATGCAGATGGCACTAGATGGAGGTTTGCTGAAAAAAGAAAAAATGACCGAGAGATTTCAAGAACTTGTTGGCTTGCTTGTTTAATGTCTAAACAGCTCTATTAAATATCTGTTTTCAAATTAATTATTATGGCCTGTCTCACTTTTCAAAAGTACGGTTTTCTGGTTAAAGGTTTTGACTGATAAATAAATAAGCAATTGCCTCTGTCTTGAGCAATGGCATCACTATATGGAGACCCAGTTATTCCCTTTGCTCTGATCTTGCATGTCAGAGATTAAGTGCCTGTGATTTTCTGGTATAACCCTCAATGAAGCGCTGCTCATTCATCAGCAGACTTTGATGTTATTAACCCAGCTGTGTCTGCCTAGCATGCACTGAGGTAAGGAAGGAAATGGAGTGGTACTGCACAAAAGTGTCTCAAATTCACTTATTACACAGTTACTCATAGTCATTGTACAATACACACACACAATGCTTTCTTAGTTCCTACACAAGTATGCTATTCTTAAAATCTTTTTGTAGCCAAAATTAAATCCAGGTACAAAAGTGTTCACTGAGTACAGTAGATATGTGATGATATGAGTTACAATAATATGAACTACATTCTGAAGCTTGTCAGCAGTATTCTGTACTGCACACAATGCACTATTTTCTTAACATCCCTCAGTGCTATAAGTTTTGTCCTTTCTGTGACCACTCCACCCGACTGGCAGGAATGTAAGAAGAGAATTCTTAGTGCTGGAGCCCCAGAAAGCCAGAATAAAACCATATTCTTACAATATAAAGGAACTTGTTATTTCTGCATTGCAGTCATTTCATTTACCATCATCTGAAGGAACCATTGGCATTTCCATTACTTCCACAAAGCAATTTTCATCCTTAAATGGAAACTATCCAAGTAAAACACCCCTGCTTTAAAGAAGCAATCAATTCTCAGTGGTAGAAAGCGGTTTTATTTAATCAAAACATATTTGCAATACTATACATTTGAGTACAGGAGATCAGGTCCGAGTTTCTTTTTGTTGAACATAAATGCAGGCTATCTTCATTACATTACACACAATTCTATTTCAAAGCCAAACCCACTGCCTGTGTTTTCCATTTAAAAAATTGCCCTAAGAAAACACAGAAAAAGTTGTGGAATTTTGATTTCAAGGGGATAAAATGACAATTTCAAAAGATTGGATTTTGATGGAAAAAGTAGGATTACAAAATGCAAAACAAATGCACAGCACCAGTTTACCATATCTGTATTTGATATACAACTAATGTATCACTGAAGGCTAATTATATCAAACAACATAATCCCGATATGTCAACACTTTTTGTGTGCTATAATGTTAAGCACTTTATAATAATGTTATTTTACTTCTAGTTTGATTGCGGGTGTAGACAATACTCAAGGTTGGCAAGAAATTCTTCAGTCCTGTATGACACCTTATACAGTGTTTTCTTTCAGACATTGCCTGTGATTAATAACAAAGCCTCGTCTGTTTCTTCATACTGCTACATGTATATAGAACAGCTGTGTCACTCCTTACTGCCTCCGGTCCACACTGCTGTTCAAATGGTTTCATAGGTCATTTTCTGTGTTCACATTAGTACAGAGTGAGTTTCCTAAACAAAACACATATCAGCACACAGAGTACACTTTTTCTGAAGAAAAAGAGTATATGTTAATCAACACAAAAAAAAAACAATGCTACAAATACGATCAAAATTCTGCAGTTGGTCTCCTGCAGGTTCACTCGAAACTCTGAGGAGCTGGGGATCGTGGCACAACAACAGGGGCAGCCTGGCAGGGAGATGTGTGCCAACTTTCCCAATGAGAGCGGGAAGATGGCAGATGTCGGCCAGTTCAAAAGACGAGAGCTTTGATCTTTAAAAGGCTTTTTAATGACTTATATGAAGCAGCGATCTATGCACAACACTCTCTGGGATGGTGGGGCGGGATGTTCTCTCTTTGAGGATGCTCTGCAACAAACGGCACAGAATCATTTTTCAGCAGGCCTCAGTAGCTGCACCATGGTTTCCAAGCTGAAAGGATTCAAAGGGAAGAGAAGCCTTCCTTTCCATAGCTTGAAAAAAGATTCTTTGTACGCTTCCAACACGAAATTTGGCCAACAAAGTTATCTCCCTCTAATAAAACCCCATCTCCTCTAAAGGGGGCTTGCAGCATATTGAATCGCAGGTAGTTTTCCTGCAGGATGCCGCACTCTGCTAGGTAGAATACTTCTATAGAGCCCTCCATCCCTGAGGGCAATACAATTCAGAAAAAGCCTTTGATGCCAGGCTTGTATCTTGAAAGCGATATCGAAGAATAGCTATACATTCGCATCACTAGCCAGCATTGAAGTACAAAAAAGCCCCTCAAGGGCCTACTTTTAGATGAGAAGAAATACAGCAGCGTCTTTTTCATAAACCCGCCAAAGCAGACAATTAGGAAAAGTCTTTTTTCCTCCTGTTCATTAGGCACCAAGGCCTTGTTTGTCCATAGTCCCGTCAGTGTGACACCGTCATCATCAGTGTGGAAATGAAGGGCCGACAAAAACCCAAGCCTGCTCCTTCACTTCAGTCCCACAGATTCCATTAGTCTACATAAACACAGTTTCTGAAAGTCATCAGACTCTTTGGCACCAAAACCCACAAGTCCTCGCTGCACTTTTATTTCATTTTACATCTTTAAAGAGACTTGGGAACAAATTAAAATATGATGGATTGCAAAATACCCATGACGTGTTATGAAAACTGGAGCTATCATTAGACACAGAAGATAATTTGGATTGTATTGGCAGTGCAAGATAATGGATCCATCAAGTTACTAGAAATTCAAAGCACTAACAAAAGAAAACAATGATTAATTAACGTGACAACAGAAAATTAAATGATGGCACTCCTCATTTTCCCTCATTTTAGAACGAAAAGTATATATTATATATGGTAAGTGTAATCCCCAGGCTGTGTACAAAAGATCTTGCGTTTCCTGCTGCCCTTTGCATTTCCTATGACGTTATTAGGGTTCGCATGGGTGCCAGTACAAACACGCACATATACACTGTAAGAAAGGAAAATACACAAGTACTACATACTGTGCACAGATTGTCAGCCTTTAAATCTCTATGTATTCTCCAAACCAGGGAGAACCCAACAGGGGGAAACACAAGGCAAGAAAATGGATGAAAGAAAGAAGAATGTTGTTTTAGGATTTGAGTGGAGCATTTCTGTAATCTTGTCACTATGGTTTATGAGAGTTTTGGAAGAATGGGATTGTACATTCTTTACCTCTTCTTGCTTCTAAAAGGTATTTGTAAAAGAGTTGTAGATTAATGACCACATAGCACTAAAAATGCATCTAAAACTGAATTTTGGTGTTCAAATTAAAAACCATGAGCTAGACTTCATAAGTAGATAATTGAACTCTTTTTTTTCCAGATAAAAAATGCAGTGCAAGCTACATATGGGAGCAGAAGCTGAAGTAAATGGAGGCTCTGGAGTGTTAATGTCGTGCCTCACTGTTTAGTCAAGTGCAGCTAAAGCAATGAGACCGCAGGCTGAAAGGAAGTTCACTTTGAGGTTCAGTTAGCCTTGCACAGACCTGTCCTACCTTCCTGGGAAACTTGACTAGATTCTGCACCAATGTCCTTGCAATGTCACAATGTGGACCAAATTACTTGATAGTAACATTTCTTTGCTCTTAAATAGATGGCTTATAAACAAAAACAACAGAAACTGCAGCAATTTCAAAAAAGAGAGGTTGAAATCGTAATGTACATCTGTACTTTGTCTGACAGGCTTTATGGTTCTTGGAGGACCCCTGCCAAAGCAAGAGACAGTCTGGAATGCACTGCACAGAATATAAAGTAAACTCTAGTACAATATTTGTACAGGAAAAGCAGATATATTTTTACTCTGAAGCCAAAGGCTTTATAGAAAGGATTTACAAAGACCATTATTAAAAATAAACTTCTAAAAACAGCAATTCATTTTCCCCTTTCAGAATCAGAATCACTTTATTTGCCAAGTACGTTACATGTACAATTAACAGTATTGTCTTGCCATTGATTTGGTTTGTGCCGTGCTCCTAAATATACAGACTTTTCCACATAATTAATTGCAAGGCTTTATGTTAGCCAGCATCTCAGTAATTCAAATGACTTTTAATGCTTCTAATTAAATTGCAGTCAAGTGATGCATTTGTCAGGGCTGTAGAGTGCTGGGTTGGTATGCAGAAGGACAGCAGGTGAGCTTGAGTGGATCAGATACAACAATCAAACTACCATTTAAAGCTGCAGCAGATATTCTATTAATATATAATATAATAACACATGTAATGGAGAATGGGTTTACTTTTCCTATGCATTCTCAAAAGAATGCAGAAGGACAGTTTCCAGAAGAATATTAAAATACTGTATAAAGAACCATAAAAATGCGAGAGATACCCAAGGAAGTATCTTACGGACAAAGACATAATGGGAGCTTACTATTGAGTACAGTGAACACAGAACACAAGACGCAGTGCTCTGACAATGTGGATTTTATTATGTAGCATATGGACATCGAGATGTACACAAGACAAAGAAAAAAACTGAAACAGAAAATTGAGGGCATTAATTGAGCACTGTGCCATTTCTTTTAACTGATTTAATATATTTGTGACTTTGGATACTCAAATGAAATATGATGAATTCCACAAAAAAAAGCTTTCTTGTTTTTAAGAAGTGCTATAAATTCCTCAATGAAGACAGTCTAAGCCATTGAACGCCTAGTGAGTCACATGCTGTATAGATTTCTTTGGTATCTTGGCTCCTTCTCTAATGTATAATGGCCAAGGACATCAAAGCCGCTTCAGTATTTTACCAGCTGGAGGTAAAATCCCTCTGTAATCTTCTTTTTATAACTTTTTTGTGTTCCATCCTCAGCTAAATCTTTCAACTTCTTTAAAATACCAACAAATGATCCTCTCTTTTTAATACAGAAATAAGTCTTAAAACAAAATTTGAGTTTTTCTTTAAGCAAAAATGAAGCAATTTTAGAAAAGCCTCTCCAGATTTGAAATATACATATACAGTATGGTGTCACCTACTCTGTATCACCATGGGTCTGGTCTGGTGAGGACATCTGGCACATATTCTGGGTGTACGAGGAGAATGATTTTCAGTCTGTCATATAAACACCTCCAACCTCCTTGTATGTAAGTAGTTCAGCACAGAGCATGTACTCTACTGGATGGTTTTCACTCCAGGCAGGTAAGTGGACAGCCTTTCTACCCAGCTCAATAGGTAGCTCAATAGCTACAGTAGGTGGGACAGCAGCTCCAAAACTAGAAGAGCACACAAACATTCTAGAAGGTACAGTGCCCTGCCATATTAAAATCATGTATTAGAAAAGGAGACAATGTTATTGGAGCACAGAATGTAGTGAATATAAACAAGTACCTGGTGAATAGGCTTTGTACACCACACAGAAAGGATGGATTCACAACATGGGTGTAATGTCAGTTTGTTTTTAGGATAAATAAGGATGCTCTTTTAAATTAGTTTAGCTCTGAATGGGTTTATCTGTCATGTATAAGGCTGGCACCTCCATCTGGTTGTGCCCTAGTCTTGTTCTAAACACTTAACTGCACTAATTACTACTTGATTTAGGGGAAGGTACAGGTACTGGCATCATTTAGCTTGAAATGGAAGGGGTACTTTTATAGCTCTTTATGGGCTTTATTCCTGCTGAATTAAACATTCTAACAAAACAGTCCTGAGCTGAACACTTCTTAAAGACTAGAATTTTCAAATTTTCATTTTTTTGGGACCACACTACATCAAAAGAGAGGCTGGCAAGCATTCAAACACTGAAACAGCTAATTAACCACCAGCACTGTCTCATCTGGAGCTTTCAGAAAAACCATCAGCTTCACTTTTTGGGGTAAAAACATTCTGAAGCTAGTTCTGAGCCAATTCTACTGGCTCCTGAAAAATGCTTTTTCATTTGAATTTAATTAAACTTATAGTCACAATTACTAAAGGTCTGGTAATTCGGCAGCTCACATTGAGTATCAATGATGGTTTCTTTGATCCTGAGCTTTTATGTGCAGTCTTTAAATCCAATGCACAGAAGCAGAGCATGTTCAAAGAACTAATGTGTGCTCCGACAGTTCTGACATATCAGGATATGCAAATTAGAATTGATATTTTCATATTAAAGAAGTTATCTTTAAAACGGTGTATTTGTTAATTGCTCTTACAGGAACAAATCTTCGACATGAGGATTACTACGAAAAGGTTACAAAACGTTTTTTGTAACTCTAAAACACTGGAGATGCTAATGCAGCTTTGAACATGAAAAATTCTCGTCTAAAGTAAAAACAAAACCTGGAAGTATTTGAGAAAATATCTCAGTTATTCTTTAGGTATTTATGAAAACACAATTTGCCCTGCATCCATAATGTGGTGTTGGGAGAAAAAATAGCACTGTTGAGCTCTCTGCTTTTGGAAGGGTGTAGTGGACACTCAATGAATGACAGAGGAGGTCTCATTATAAAACCAGCAGTTCCACATAAACTTCTCCAGATGGACCACCTGAGAGGAACAGCAGTAGGTCTTGCTCGTCTGTAGGATGTGTGCTGGCTACTGGGATGTCATTGTCCTGCACTGACAGGCAGGGGTGCTCAAGGCCAGGCTGCATGAAAACCTGCTCCAGCTCTGCTCGTTTGCAACACCAGTTTAATTCGGCACTGTGACAGAAAACTTCCATCATGTTTACTTAAGCTTCCCTATGACTGCATTTGTTACACAGAAATTAACACAGTTGTAAAACAGCATCTCCTCCCTCATTTAGTTTCAGCCACTGAGAAAAACACCAATAAATACAAAACAAGAACCTGGGCCGGATCTGAATGTCTTTATAGAACTGACATTGTGCATCACTCAGACTTATGCAGCTAGAAGATGTCCTTTGACTGAAGCCTCTCTGATTTTAAACTAGCGTAAAGATGACCCACACACCAAATCAGTCGAAATCAAACATTCACTGTCCACGGGCGCTTTCTTTTGTATTTCTGGAATTGGTGCTCTCAACTATTATTCTTTCAAAATTATTTCCTTTTTCCATAAAAAATAACAAAAGGGAAAGCTAACAATATACCTTTAAAAAGCTATGTTCCCAAAGGAGGAAAAACAGTATTAACTGCTCCATAGTTTAAGAAGTGTTCTTTGCTCAAAATGATGCATTTTTTCATGTTTATACACTACTTATACTGTGCAGAAGACAAGTATTTTGAAACACAGTGGCACCAGGTAATGCATGTTCAGACACCTTGATTTAACATGCAGTAGTCTGCTTTAGATTCATGTGATAGAGGTGCAAGCAGCATTTGTGTCCCAGCAGGGAGTGGGTCACTCAAATAAAAAAAAAACACAGATGGGTGACTGATGAGGAAAAAGGTGAAACCCTAAGGAGTTTCCACAGCTGAGATCAAGCTCAAAAAGGTTAACAAAAGCTCAAGTGCCAGCAGGCTGCCCTGTACTTGCCTGGGTCTGTGTGAACACAGCTGCCTGACTGAACCAGCTCCCCACTGACCAGGCTCACAGTAAGACTAGCAACACTTGAATCAATAGCTTGACCTATATGCATCATCAGAAGGAAAACATCATAATACTCATTGCAGAAACTATAGAAATCAAATTATTCTCTGATAAAAAGATGTGGGTCCATTAATTGTGAGTTGCTAAATTGGAACTGTGTTTCTTTATTACTTGTAAGGTGAGATCACTGAAGGACGGGTTCGTGTGTCTATATATCTGCGAGTGATGATGTGGTCCGGGTGTGTGGAGGTGCTGGCAGAGACCGAGAGAGAATGCAGTACATATTGGTGATGTACATGCAATACAATCCGTGTGCCTTCTTGTACAGGTGACAGACAATCGTGTGGCTTCCTCCTTGCCGTCCCTATGCCCTGTAGAGCAGAATCCTCTCTGCGCAGACCTGTCCCACCAGCCCAGCATACTGCTGCACATCCTTCTCGTCACTGGGGCCCTTGCGTTTCCTGGCATAGACAGCGTAAGGCATGACGGTCCTGCGGTGGAGCACCAGTGTCCGGCCCAGGTCCCTCAGAGCCCTCTCATCCACTGCAACACAAACAGTGCCCCGTCAGCAGTGCTGCAGCTCCATTCACACTCCTCGCTGTACCACATCAAGTACCCACTTGGTGGTAGCACCTTATAAAAGCTATTTAAAAAAAAATCTATTTTAGAAATTTTTGTAGCAGCTCTGAAAGCTGAATTCTATTTCCATTCCCCCATTTGGCTGAATACCACCCAATTCCATTTTTTTGTCACCCCTGTCCCTAAATATTCCACACACCTGAGTAGACAGTTTGTTAAAGTAGCATGGCAGAGAAAGCCATTGGGATTATCATGTGAAGAAATATTTCTTAACTTCACATGATATGATACAATAATACTTTATTGTTTCATTTCTCTGAAATTTGTTGCGCCTCCAAGTAGCTATGTTTTACACACAGAGAGACTTACAAAAACATACAAACAGTACATATAAACATTACTTTAAAAATAAATATAACATTACATAAAATACATCAACCCATTCAAAGTCATGATGTACCACTCCTACGCCACACAGGAATTCACACAGGTTGCCAGGACCAGTAAGATTACTTTCCCACAGTCACCCTAAGCCCTTATAAATGCACCTACCCCATCATTTATGCACCACTAATTGCACATGCTCATGAACCATTACTCCTTTATCGTGAAATCATTTGTAGAGTAGTTTGATCGACTGTGGAATAAAGGAGTTCCTCATTTTGTTGTGTCTGCAGTGAGGACTATAAAATGTCTTTTTGAAGGCATCTGTTGGTATTCTTCATGAATAACATGAGAGGGGTTAGATGAGAAAATAACAGCTAGTCTCAACATACTCTTAATGTAAGCAATTTGAAAGCTCTGCTTAAGTGGCTGCTCCAGCTATCTCAGAACACATCCCCAAGAGTCTGGCCTTTTGTTGCACAGAAAAACTATTATGGCAGACATTCCATACTGCAGGGCACTTTGTACCACAGAACTGAAAGACATGGATAGACTCTGACTACTGGCACCAAAAACCCATTACCTGGAAAGAAAGTAGATTCACAGTTGTACTTTATTACAAATAAAGTCAACAGGTGCCAAGACAGATCTTGCCAGATATTTATAGGATGTAACTTGATTAATGAACTTATTATGAATTAGGACTGGGGAAGGATATTCATCCTGTTCAAAACGAAAGAAGATAATTTATTCTGTTTTTCATCCACTTCTGTATTTCCATTTGTTCATTTGTTGAAAAACAGAGTCTTTACAGACTCCGCATCATAGGATTAGGACCTGAACCATCTTTACATGCAGTTGATCACCATTTCAGACTTGTCATCGAAGGATTTTGTTTTCAAAGGCTGATGTTGTTGATGACTTGTCTTATTATTAATTAACCCATTTATCTTTTCTTTATTAAAGAATACTGAAGCTCTGCACCTCCCCAAGCAGACTTCACTAAGGGGCGAACAGAGGACAAGAAACCGCAGCAGAGCCACAGAAACCGTGCAGCATCAATCTAACATGTTACATGTTTAATAAACGCACACGTCAAAGTTTAATTAAAAAGCAAGAGAAAAACGGGAAGTCTGATGCAGTTAATTTAAAATAACATGGATGGCAAAAAGGTACAGTCATGCCTGAATAATCTGCTCATAATTTTGCTCACATAGTTTGTCTGATGCTACATCCCACACTGTTCTCTAACTCTCCAGGGTCAAAGAGAACAACCTTCTACATAAATTATAGTTTCATGCTGAACAGAAGACAAAACTGATACCATAATGTAACAAAAACAAGCTGGGTGTCTATCCATTCTGAAAATCACCCACTGTTCTTCAAATATATACATTTCCTGAAATTGCTGTTGTGAATCTAAAAAATCTCACTTAGTAGTTTCTCCCAGTCAGATGCCTGTAAAACTCATTTCACTGATCAAACAGGTTGCTAAACTATTAATTGCTTTGCTAGGGTGTACAATGTGACATGTGCTCCCTACTTGAATCCGACAGTCAGAGCCCTGCCACCCTAGAATCAATAAACTAGATGTGTATCTATCTAAACCACACATCAGACCTAGTCATGAAATTAGAAAAGTCACAATAAACATTATTCATGTCAACATTTCAAAATACAAAATGCAGGACTGTCGAATATTACTGCTGGATCAAGTAGATTCTGAGGTCAACCACTGTGTGTTTTGTCATTGTACAACTCACAATTTAAGAAAAAAAATGTCAAGTTGGAGGTATTGAAATACAAAATGCTGTCACTTCTACAAATGAAAGCTGCTTGCATATGACACAAGTGCTTCACACTTAGGTACAATGAATACAAACAGAAGGATCATCCATCTTTGCTATTGAGGACAACCAGTGCTCCTCCAGACTGCAGCAGTGAGATACAGTTACAGCTCACAGACAGCAAGTAAGACAAATGAGAAACAATGAAATATGATGCAAAACAAAGCAAAGAAGAACAAATGACAAAAAACAGTCTGCCTACATCACAGTTGCTGTGCAGCTGTAAACAAATGGTACTATAGTGGAGAAGCCAATTTTAAAGATGTTCTTTTTCAACATGGATTTTCTTTTGGGGGGTAAACACAGTACACTGCCACTTTCATTCCTTTCTGATGTAAACGAGACGCCAGCTACACTTGATATGATTATATGCAGTGCTTACAATCCTCCTTTGACAGCTTGGAAAACCAACGTTCCACATGGTTTTCAAAATCCTGAAGAGCACAGTGCATATTTATTTATCTGTTCTTTGTTTTCCAACTAATTCCCCAGCGGTTTGTGGCAACATCAGAGAACAGAACATTGGCAGGGCTGAAAAAATAATCTGGAGAATGCGGTGATCCTTCCTGAGTTTCCAGTGCGTGCTTTTCCACTGCAAATAACACACGAAAGGCAAAAGTGTACAGTGCTCGTCTCCAAACTGATCACAGTGAGGATCTGTGATTTCGCCACACTGCAGTGAGAGACATAAAAGGGTAAACAGATAAGTGAACCCATGCAACCCATTTCACTGGAGGAAACTGGCACTTAACTGGCACTTGAGAATTGATGTCATTAAAGAACTGTTTAGTATTAAGGCTGTGGCAGGGAATTGTAAATTATGGTATTGGATGGCTCCTTATTTAAAACTACTGCAAAGAACTAAAATTAAACGTGTGCACCTGTGACTAACAAATGCTCCTTAGAGCTCTTCAAAGATATCCTAAGTCAAAAGTAAAAAACACAGTATGTTAATTAACACCATTAATATTACAGCACTACTGCAGTGCTGCAGGCACAGAGCTTGCAAATAAAGTTGATAACCAGTTGAAAGAATGAGAATGTGCATAATCCAGTTGGGAATTAGTTTTTCTGGGGGAAATTCTGGATTCTAAAACCTGAAGCTAAGTTTGTAATCCACTGTTCCAGTGTTCCTTAAAAAAATCAGCATGGTAAAACTGCTTTATTGATGCTAGCCTTTTAAAATTATACTAAATCCTGGTATTTTTTGCAGTGTCTACTGTATTAAATCATAGCAGTAAACATGCACATGGGCATCAATCAAATTAAATGTGCATGAAGTGTATGGGGGGAAAACACAGCACAATCTCATAATTATGTGGTAAATTCTCTAAAAGGGCTCCATCCATAGGAAGAATAAGGCTTAGCTTCAGAATAGCATAGAGACTTGGAAAGGACTGGCAATAGATACTCACTGGCACATAATGGCTGTATGGTGTTGCAGTGGCAGTGGACAAATATTCATAAGCAACAAAATAATGAAACAGCACAGGAGGGTGCATAAATCAGGAACACAAGAGCCTATCCCTCTCCATTTTATAGCATTCATTAGGATTGTACAGGATATCGCAAGAATCAGAATTGTACAAGACATGCCCCATCCGTGCAGAGTGGTTCTGGGATACATTCCATGGTGCCTGGAGTCTTACCAGGAATAAGCAGCTTTCTGGTAATGGATGCCTGGATATACTGCTTTTTGTTTCTGTAAAGGTGTTGATTTCTTAATAGACATAATAGAAAAATGGCCGTCTCCAGCACAAAAAATAAGCATTTTTATTACTTCTTACATGATTATAGTTTTAATGCATGTTTTTCCATTGTAGTGACCTTAACCTTGCCTTCTGATTACAGCTCTTAGTGAAAAGAGCCTAATAATATAACTGTGCCAAGTCTCTTTTTCTGTACCTTTTCTTTTTTTAATCCTCCAAGTTACAGGAATATGGGACTCCAGGGAAGTCCTCGGGAGAAGGTTTTCTAAATTTATTGTTAACTGATTGAGAGAATGTATGATACATTCAGCACAATGACTCCATTAAGCCTACAGGGTGGTTTAGAGGTCTTGTTCCTGGCTAAAACACTGTATTCAAGTCCTCATTAGCACTCAGTAAAAACAAAGCTTAACTCCCTTAGGATAACTAAATAAGTATTTGCAGCACAACGCAAACTTTATTTACGCAATTTAAAATGAATCACACAAAAGCTAATGGTGTTTTCACCCTCAAGAAAAGCAGGCGTTTGACTGCAGACAGAGCCTTCTTTTCCCAAAGATGGACAGCAGATAGACCAAGTGCCAATACACACCGACCCGTGCTTCTCAATAGACAGTGTAGCTTATATAGTTACCAGCTTGCACCTCTAACTTCTCCAAACTACACATATTTTGTTGAATACCTACATTTTCTGTACTATCTAGACTAGCAGTACCAAATTTGTACAGTATTTTTTTCCACGTTCCTGGAGGCACGACTGGGGTGGCTTTTAGTCTGTAGGCTCATACAACCTCCCACTCATCACAGTTCCTGACCTGATGCCTCTGCCATATAAGATGCAGGGCAATTGTAGGGGCCATTTTTGAGGGGGAATATGAATTTTCTACACCAGCAATTACATTGTATATCTACATGAAACTGATGATGAAATATAATGTACATCCATAGTTCAAATAAGCACTCCCAAACACTGTATTTGTCCAATTTTCTCTTCCAAACAAGACATATCTGTGTTGTAAATGTC